TATTAAATGTTTAAGAGCAAAAAGCGCGATTGAATTCAATTTTTTTAAAAAATTTATTATATTGGCCCTAAAATTTCGGGTCGGGTTCGGTTCGGGTTGAAGCTCTAACCCGAAAATTTTCAAACCGACCCGGCCCGTTCGGAGCACTAGTCACTAGCCTCAGATGTCAATCGACCTAAGTAAGAATTTGGGCTTAATTTAGGTCAATCAATGTCAATCAGTTAATGCGGGCCAAAAGGTCGACATCTGACGCAAGCATTTATCTGGGCACAACATATATAAAGGCATGCTCTTGTCATTGTTTGAGAAGTATGAATGTGCGCTCTCCTAAATTCCTCTTTAAACCAAAAGCCTAACTAATCATATCCGGAGTTAAACTGCGCTGAAGTACTGTAGTATATATAACTATTGGAGTTAAAATTGGAACGTTGCACTTAGTCATACGTGGAGATGTTCAACAAATATTAACTCATTGAATTATACGTACGTACGTAACTCTCGATTTTTCTCATTGTTCTTTAGCTCAAAGCCTTTTTTTCTTAAATAACAAATAAAGGCAAATTTCAAAATGTCGAGAGACTCAAGTCACTATATAAAGATTCTAGAAGAAGTAGAAGAAGGAAGAAACAAAGAATTTAAATTTTATGAATTCAAATCATCGTTTAGTAATTTAATAAAAATTGATTCTGGAGGTTTTGGGAAAGTATATAAAGCAAACTATGGTGCAAAGATGTTTGTTGCTTTGAAATCTTACCTAGATGACTCTAATATGAAGGAGATTGTAAATGAGGTTAATACAGCTAATTATTTCATTATGCTTATTACATTAAAGCTTTAATATTTTAGCAGTTCTGATACTGCTTTCTGAAAGCTAAAAGACATAATTCTGATAAAATTAATCGGTATTATCGATAACGTCGGTCTAACTTTGTCGGTATTATGTCTTTTAAGAAATGGCTTTCGTTTAGAGGAAATTTGAGTTTAATGTTTTTTAATAACCGACATCATTTGATTAGTTAAGAATTCAGAAGGCAGTAGATATGCATGACAACATTTTACGGTTTTTCGGTGTTACTAAACAAGAAGGTAAATTCAAATTATTTATACTTGATGACATTTGAATATTTGATATGTGACTATAACAATTAATGATATATAATCTAGAGAATAAATATCTATTAGTACTTCAATGGGCTGATGGTGGAACACTTTTGGATTACCTCGATGAAAATTTTATAAAAATGAATTAATTAAAATTTGCTACTCAAATTGCTGGTGCAGTAAACTTTCTGCATTCACAAAAAATTATACATCGTGACATTGTAATATTTAGTATTCATTGTAATATAATAATCATATTTTATTATGAATTTTACTAATTATAATTTATTAACAATAATTTTCATTTATCTGTAGCATCCAAAGAATATACTTATCCATCAAGATAATATAAAATTAGCAGATTTTGGTCTTTCTCGATGGATTTCTAAAAATTCCCGGGTGAAATATGGATTCTTACGCTATATAGATCCACAAGCTATTATAAATTCTAAAAATTATGAATTGAATGAGAAATCTGACGTCTTTAGTGTAGGGATCCTAATGTGGGAAATATCAAGTGGCCAAACTCCTTTTAAACACATTGATAATGAAAAGGAGGTGGTAAATCAGCAAAATTACGGAATCAGAGAAAGAATTGTTGAAGGAACACCAATAGGCTATTCAAAAATTTTTCAGCGTGAGTATCAAAATTAAATTTAATATTACAGTACAGTATAACCGTTTTAAGCAAGTGTAAATATGCAGTAATCTTTTAGAATGCTGGCAAACTGATCCTAATCTTCGACCCACTATGGACCAAGTATATGATGCATTAAAGAATGTCGACCTGAATTCGCCTGTTCATACTGATCAAACCCCACAGACTCCAGTGTGCATAAATTCAGCGAATAATATAAATTTAGAAATTTGTATTGATGATTTTCACAACAACATTTTGCGACAAAATGATAATATTACTCAACGATATGAATCATGGGATTTTGAAGCAAATAAATTGTGGGATACTTTAGTCGATTTAACAAATGTTGGAAGAGATTTTGCTCAAATTTCAAAAATGATAATTGAACGTGAGAAAGAAAGTATAAAATATATATTTGATTGGCTTGAACATCAAAACGAAAAAAAGGAACTTGATTCAAATTTAAAATGCCTTTATGGATTTTTTTATTTTATGGGAATTAGCACGAAAAAAAACCATGAGACCGCATACAAATTATTTAAAGAAGCTGCGAAAACTAACGCAACAGCAGTTTTTTATCTTGGTGAGTGCTTTAGATGCGGATATTACGTCGAAAAAAGTCTAGAAAAGGCTATAGAATTTTATAAAAAATCAGAAGACGAATGTGAAAGATCTATTGATGCTTTAGGATTTTGTTATTTGAACGGAATCGGTGGTGTTATTATGGACAGATTTATTGCTTTTGAATATTATAAAAAATCGTATGAAAAGAATTGTATGTCTGCATGTAACAGTTTAGGAATATGTTATGAAAACGGATTAGGGATTGAAAAAAATGAAAGTAAAGCATTTGATCATTATAAAAAATCAGCGGAACATGAGATTCCACTTGGGCAATGTAATCTTGCAAGATGTTATCTAAACGGAATTGGAACAACAAGGGATTTTAAATTAGCAAGAGATTTGTATCAGAAAGTAATAAATAATGGTAATGAAATAATAATTAAATAGGTTAAATGAAATGTTATCATAATTAAGTTATAATTCTAAAAAAAAAATATTTAATAATTCATTAGAAATCGACCCAATTAATGCAAATGAATTAGGAACAGCTGGTGAAACCTATCAAAGAATTGGAAAATTTGAAGAGTCACTTGCAGTTTTAAATAAGTCGTTGCAACTCGAACCATTTAACTTGTTGGCTTTAAGAACTCGTGGTATAGTATATCATAGATTAGGAAGATTGAAAGAATCTCTTGAAGACTTAAATCCTTTATTAGAACGTCAACCAGATGATGTATTTGCATTAGGAATTCGTGGTGCAATACACCGTTGTTGTTTAAATAACCATGATGAATCACTTAGAGATTTAAATAAATCACTTGGAGACTTAAATAAATCACTTGGAGATTTAAATAAATCATTAGAAATTGAGCCATTAAATGCATTTTTATTAAGAAATCGAGGGGTTTTATACAGTGAATTAGAAAGATATGAAGATTCGCTTGTGGATTTAAATGGATCATTAAAAATTGAACCAGATAACGTATTCGCATTGAGTAACCGCGGAAAAATCTACCACAAAATGAATAAACGTATGGAATCACTTGTAGATTTAAATAAATCATTAATAATTCAGCCAGACAATACTTTAGCACTTGAAAACCGTGGAGCGCTGTTTATTTAATGGGCTGTTATAAAGAATCACTTGCAGATTTTACAAAACTATCTGAAATTAATCCAAGTAATCAAATGGCATCAGTAAATCGTGAAAAAGCGAAAAAAAAATTGATAGAGCGTGAATCAATTAATCGTAACACGGGTTAAATTCGACTCGACTCATAGGCTGTCGTTTGTTTTAATTCACTCAACCGTGTAACGTATATAATTATAGATCTATTAAATCAATATGAAGATCGGAAACAGAGAACGATTGAAATATTCTTTCCTATTTGGTTTAATTGATGAATCAATCAAAGTTCAATAATTATCGCTTATAACACATCATATACTAATATAACATAGTCAAAAATTTTAATTAACATTTTATTTGACTGATTTTTTAAAGTTTTTTGTATTAGCTCAAATTTTTTTCACATTAGTATTTAAAGCTAAATCAAGGGTTTTCAAAGGTATAGAGCATTTTTACTTAGAGTTCCATGCACAAATTAATTAGCCAGTTTTGTGATAATGTATACATAGGTGTAAAATACCAAGGTGCGTTTTAGTAAAAATGTATATTTATGTAAGAGATATAAATTTTTTAACGCTTCACATTTCCAAAAGCTGAATATATTAGTATTCTATCAATTTATATATATTTAAACATTCTAAAGACCTGTAGTGCAAACGAATTAGTTCTGATCTATTTAGGGATTTTGTAATTGATGTGGTCGTAACTCTATTGGTTTTTTCGCGCTTTTCAATTTACGTTTCACTAAATTTAATTACTTTAGTTTAACAAGTTAGCATTCGATTATAAATTTAGATTCTTCAAAATAAATTTTAATTATAAAATTTTAGTTTATAAATTAATAAATATGGGCAATATTACATGTAACTGTAAATATTAGTAATCTTACAGATAAATATAATTAATCTTACAGATAAATATAATTAATCTCACATAAAATATAATTAATATTAATATTAAAGTAACTCACAATAATCACACCCATATTTGTCAAAAACCCGCTATAATCATCCCAAAGTCAGTCTAAAAATATTCAAGTTCTGGGAGTTGACTGTAGGATAAATTGGCATCACCACTTAATTTCTCTGCTTTTCAAAATCCATCTTTGCTTCTTCGTATTTATACATAAGAGCATAGACTGTTCCGCGAGTTTCTAATGAAACTATATCATTCGGATTAAGTTCTAATGCTTTATCTAAATCTTCAATTGCTTTGTCATAATTATACATTGTATAATGAAGAGTTGCACGATTTCTCAACGTAATAGCGACATGTGGTAATATGCTTAATGATTCGTTATAATCTTTAAGCGCTTCATCGAATTTTTTTCATACTGCTATAAGCCAATCCACGATTACTTAAAGCTGTTGCATGTTTTGGGTTGATTTCAAACGCTTTATTATAATCTAAAATCGCTTTTTCATGATCCCCCTTATAATAATAAATTAGTCCGCGATTATTATAAGGAATTGGATCGTTAGGTCTGTTTTCTATTGCTTTGTTTATATCTGTAAATGCTTCATCATATTTTCCCAAAGCACGATATGCTTGTCCACGACCTTCAAGTGCTGCTACATTATCTGGTTTAATCTTTAACGAATCCTCAAAGTCTGAAAGAGCTTCATTATATTTTCTCAAGTCAGAATAAACCAACCCACGACTACTCAGTAAAGTCGCATCATTTGGCTTGATATCAATTGCTGTTTTTAGATCATTAAGTGCATCACTATGTTTACCTAAAGCACGATAAACTAATGCACGATCCCCTAATGTAATTACATCATTTGGCCTAATTTCCAATGATTTATTAAAATTTTCAAGAGCTTCTTTATCTTTTCTTTGTTCATAATAAATTAGACCACGATTACTCAAAGCAACAGCAAGATTTGGACTAATTTCCAGTGATTTATTAAAATCTTCAAGCGCTTTATCATAATTTTTCATATTGCGATAAGCTAATCCGCGATTATTTAGTATAATTGGATCATCTGGTTTAATATTTAATGCTTTTGTAAAATCTGAAAGTGATTCATCAAACCTTCCCATATCTGAGTATAACAATCCACGTTGCCCCAACGCAACAGCATCGTCTGGATTGATTTCTATGACTCTGTTGATATCTACAAGCGCTTCTTCAAATTTTAGCAGAGAACGATAAGCTCTTGCACGTGACTCCAATATTGCTGCATTATTTGGATCAAGTTCCAACGACTTTTCAAGATATAAAAATGCTTCATTATGTCTTCCCATGGAGGAATATGTTAATCCAATATTCATAATTAAAATAGGATCATTAGGCTTAACTTGTAATGCTTTATTAAAGTCCGCGAGTGCTTCTTCGAATTCACCCATGTATAGACAGGCAATTCCATGGGTTTCTAGCGTGATCACATCATCGGGTTTCTCTTTCAATGATTTGTTCAAAAGCGGAATAGCTTTTGTGTAATTTTGACTATTGAATAAAGCTGTTCCATAATTACTCAAAGTAATTGAACTATTTGGATCAACTTCTAATGATTTATCAAAATCCGAAAACGCTTCTTCATATCTTTTCAAATTAGTATATGCTATTCCCCGATTACTTAATACAGTTGCGTTTTTGGGATTAATTTCAATAGATTTATTATAATATTTAAGTGATTCTTCATGTTTTTTTAAATCAAAATAGATTAATCCATAATTATTCCATAAAATCGAATCTTTTGGATTAATTTCCACTGCTCTTTTCATATCGGAAATTGCATCTTCATACCTGCCCATAGATTTGTAAGTCAAACTACGAGCGTCCAATGACAATGCATCATTTGGATTCACGTCCATTGCCTTATTAAGATCAGAAAGCGCTTCATCATATCTTTTCATCGCATTATAAGTCATTCCACGGCTTCTTAAAGCTATCGCATCATTTGGCCTTATTCCTAATGATTTATTCAAATCTTTAAGAGATTCTTCGTATTTTCCTATATTACAATAGGCTATTCCACGATATTCTAAATTAGTTGCATCTTCTGGACTAAAATTCAATGCATCATTTAAGTCTCCGTATATTTACGAGTAAGTGTGTTTATTCTTCCTCGAATACCAAGAGAAATTGGATCATTTGGATTTTTTAATAATGCTTTATTTATTTCTTCGGAAGCATTTTTATAATTGCCCATTAGCATATTGATGATTGCACGTCGTCTCCATATATAATCATTTACATCCGAATTTATCTTATACAAGCAATGAGAATTAGTAATACTATAAAAGTCATGTTTTGTAGGAAAAGAATTAAATATTGACTTACAGAATTATTGTAAATATCATCTTAATAAAATGTATGGATTGTTAGTTTAATCAAACTTTAAACAAAGCCTGAAATATTAACACACAACATACCCATGACACTTGGTTCGTGGGTTTCTACACTGCCTAAGGTATTATTCAAACCAAATCTATCCAAACCATATCTGTTGGAAAACTTTATGATATCATCAATATTTGTTATATTAATCAATGAAATGTTGTTTTCAACTAAATTATTTTCAACAGTGCTTTCAACAGTGTCTGAAATTCAATTTTTAAATTAGTTGCGGGCTGCAACCAATTGAAAAAAACGACTTGCGGATTATAAAATTTATAAAAATTTAGTTGCGCACATGAACATTTAATCGAAATTTATAGGTAAATTTTGCAAATTTATATGCGGAATTTGCATGTGCACTTCAGATTTTGGTTGCGGGAATTTAAAACTTTGTTGCGGTCCGCAGACTCCGCAACCCAATTTCAGACACTGGCTTTCAATAGTTGGTGTAAGTGGTACATCAACCGTATTCTGAGGAATCAAAATTGGATTTACAGAAATTTCGCCTCCTCTACCTTTCTTAGGTCGAAAAATTTTTATATTTTGAAAAATAGTTTGAAAAATTGAATTATGTTCAGCAAGAGGTCGTACATATTGATCATGAGGATTTAAATTAGTCTCCAATAAAGATTTCAAAATTTCAAAAACTAATTTAGCTTCAGGACGTTTAGAGGGGTCATCATTCCAGCATTTTTTATAAAGTTCGATGTATTGAGTTGGTGTGTCCTTTACCGGTGTTTCTTTGTTTCCTTGGCTTACATGAGATATAATTGCAAATATTGATGTATATGATTCAAATGGCACTTTTCCACTAGAAATTTCCCATAAAATAACACCTAGACTATATATATCATATTTCATATCTGGTTTATACGAATTATTTTTAAAGCGTTGGGGATCAACGTATGCTATCATTCCACAAAAATCCATGGCGTTATATGATGTAGATGTCTCATTTATCCGTTTTGATAAACCAAAGTCTGTAATTAGCATTTTTCCTTCATGAACTAGAATGTTTTTAGAGTGCTTAATAATATATATTTATATATGCATAATCAGATTTTGTATAAAAACAATCAATTTTATTAGAAAATATAATAATATTTATTATACTTACAAGATCGCTATGTACAATATTTTTATTATGCAAGAACGCGAGACCACTTGATATTTCACTAGCCATGCGAAATTTATCGACCCAGTTGAGCTTTGAGAATTCTTTTAAATATTCACGTAAATTCCCATCGTTCGCGTATTGTAAAATTATTTTGTGACGCCCCTCAGAAGGATCTACATTTAGAAATATTGGGAATAATACGTGCAAAATGTTAGTAAACACAATAATATATGAGTGAACGCGTCCAATATCTATAACTACTAACCAAGAGTTATTCCATAAAAATTAACTATGTTAGTGTGAGAACTAACATCTTGTAATACTTGAAGCTGTATAGGAATTTAATATTAATATTGAAATTAACACGATAAAAATAAAATATATGGTACTTCCAGAAGATTTTATAGGATTCGAAACTAAAGTTTCATATACCTCTCTAATAAACATCTTAATAGCATTTTTATCTAAATTCTCGTTGCTTTTTAAGCTTTTAAGTGCGACCTTAAAATCATGATCATTCCACTCAGCTTTTACTGTAATTCCGAAACTTCCTCTTCCAATTTCTTCTAAGTTTTTAAATTCGCTAAAATCAACACGACTGATGGATTCATGAATAGAATTTTCAATTTGCTAATTTTGGCGACTTGTTGTCATGTTTTTCTTTTATAGACGGATAAGATTATTGCTGATATGATTTGAAAATTTTTATACTTCTGACATTTAATAGAATTAAATGTTAAATTTATAGTTAGGAATTTTATACTTTGATGCAACATATTTTATAGAGAAAACTCCGTGTATAAAAAAGT